GCCACACCCAGGGTCGCCGAATAAAGTCGATAGGAGACATTTGGTAGAGAGCGGCCCCACAGAACATTGGGCAGCACACAAAGCCTATGAGCCTGAAGCAGCGACAGAGAGATGAAAACATGATGAATGTGTTAAGGGGTCCGTAGAGTCAGCGTAAGGCTGACTGAAGTTCAGCTTAAAAAGGAACAGAAAGACTCTGATCCAGCGATATGCCAAATTGCCCTCACCCCATGTCGTGGTAAACTGGTAGCCACGAAAACGCACGAACTCTGTGCCCCCTTCGGGCAACAGATAGGGCGTGCCTTCTCTTCCAAAACTCCTCCAGATCGAAGAAGTCATAGTTGCGGGAAGAGAATTGCTCCTTGGGATCTTTGGTCTCCAAATGAGTTGGGAACTCAAATGAATGCCAACACAAATGCATGTTGTGCAGCAAAGAGGCGTGTGTCACCATGACACCCTTTGGCTCAGATGTACTCCCCGAAGTGAACTGCAGAAGGACCGAGCAACGCATCACGGCCACAACTATGCGACGGCAAAACGCAGGCGTGCATTTGTCGTGTCACACTTCAGTGCTGCAACGCAGGTACACCGCTGTAGAGCTGTTCAATCATCCGCTAGGGTCAAGGATGAGATGTTGCTGCACAGTGTGCATACCTGTAGAAACGCGATGGAGTGGGGGTCCAGAGTCACAGGAGATCGGGGAGCGGGAGCACTGCCTTTCTTGATGCAGTCGGTGCAGATCCACTCGATTTCTCTCCACCTTTTTTCCCGCGACACAACAGACATCGCCGCCGCTACGCGGCGATAGGTTGTGGACGTGAGGGCCTTCTTCGTTCCAGCACTGTCTCCAATATCACAGAAACGCGGAATATCCGTCGTTCCCTTTGTGGGGTCCGGAGGGTAAACAGGGACAGCTGCAATGCCCGAAATGATGCAGCTGTAAAACGCAACTATGAAATCTATTCCTGGTGGATAGCACAAAATGACCCGGTCATTCTGCTTGATTCCAATTTCGTGCAGAAAATCCGCAAGTTCATATATCTGATCAACGAGCTGTTTGTAAGTCCTTATTTCCGCAACATCTCCTTCACCATTCAGCCAGACCACTGCCTCTGCGTCCGGTATTTCGTTCGCCCATTTGTTAAACGTCGTGGCGAACGGGTTTCCACACAGCTTTTTCCACAATGCTTGGATGGGGGGACTCATGGGGCGGTTTGAGGGACTTGTTGTTTCCGACGTGTCGGACTGCGTCGCGGTGGACGACCCCGCTAACTTTGCCTTCACTTCAACCATTTTCGAAGACATGCGCCGACGTGTTCGACAACGGGCCGGGGAAACGAAATCACGCGTGACTGTAGGGAGGGCCGTAAAGCGACCTTCTCAAGATAGCATCAAAGCTTCGGTCTAAAACTCATCCCAACAGGTGCTTATTTTGGATTCGTCCTTCACGGTTTCCCTAAAAAATAGCGTATGGCTGATTGACTGAGTTCCTGTAGAGCAACACCCGTGCGCTCGCAAGACCAACGTTAGGGGCCAATAGTGTGCGGAAGAAACCACTCGCTGTAGTAGGAACTCGATTAAACACAGCTGAGAAAAAGTTGTTTGTTTTGTTATTTCCCCTGGTGTCTATTAGGGAACTCCCTCAACTGCGTCCAATTGGTTTTTCGTCTCGGAAACCTTCAGTTGATATTCGACCGTGAAGTATGACGCTCCTCAGCCAGAGCTGCTTTCTGCAGTGCTAGGCGAACACGTCCATTATTTTGGATATGCCTCAGGCATTTGCATGATTATTCGTTGAGTTTATCGGGGAATATCCAGCAGATTATTCCGCTTAGAAGTTGCTGTGGCTTCGCACGTCCGCCGTGCAACGCCAGCAGAGGTCGCAGTCGCGGAAGAGTTGAATTTTGCGATTAGACAGCCGATAAAGGGTTGTCTTGCATAGCCAGCAGCTCCAAAAGATATATAAAGAGGAAAACGAATAACCCAGAAGAGAACAACACGTTCAAACGAAGTTGGACTCCGCAATGACTCACCACAACCGCGGCGTCGCAGC